GGTTACAGCAGCCGTGGCCATCAAGCCCGCCAGTCGCGCCCTCAGATCGGACGAAAGCTCTATCCTGGCCTGCTGCTGGCCAGGCCCCAGCGGCGCCGCCGCTGCGCAGCCGGCGCCCGCGGGCGCAACCGGGGCGCCTCCCTTTGCCCTTTCCAGAATGGCCGCCAGCACAGGGTCAGAGGCAGGCGCCGCGGCCATCGCCGTCGGCCCCTGCTGTTGCGGCACCACCTGCGCGGGCGCCGCGGCACGGCGCGCCTCGTGCAAGGCGCGCGTGCTGGGCCCCAACGGGGCAGCCGCCTCACCGGCTGCGGCAGCAGCGCCTGGGGCGTCCTCCGCAGCCGCTGCCAGGGGCCCAAATGGCTGTTTCTCTGCGCCGCCACTCTCATCGTCCTCCGCAGACATCATCAGCGCCCTGTGGCGCGCTAGCGCACGAGCGCGTTCCGCCGCCTGCTCGCGCTGCAGGCGCTCGGCAGCTGCCCGCTCCTCGGCCTGGCGCGCCGCGACCAAAGCGCGGGCCCGCTCGCGCCGCTCTGCGCGCTTGCGCGCCAGCGCAAGCTCCTGTTCCGCCAACCGTAGCTGCTCCGCAGCTGCCTGCTGGGCTGCCGCCCCAGCCCCGTCCTCGCCCTCGGCGCCTGCTTGTTGCTCCTGCTGCTGCTGCTGCTGCTGCTGCTGCTGCTGCTCCTGCTGCCCTTCTTCCAACTGAGCTGCCGCCGCAGCTGCCGCCGCCGCAGCTGCGGCTTCTCCGCCGCCCGCCGACAGCGCGGCGGCAGCTGCCGCCGCGGCCTTGCAGGCGCGCAGCACCATCGCCCCTGCGATCGCTGGGTTGGCGCGCACCACAACGCCTTCGGCGGCGGCCCCTGAAAATATTGGCGCCCGCTGCGGGGCGGGCGCAGCCGCGGCGGCGGCATGCTTCTCTGGCGGGGGCGTGGCCGCTGAGTCGACTGCGGGGCCCCCATCCGGCAGCGGCGCAGCGACGTCAGCCTGCTGTTCGAGGGGCTGCACTTTCGCCGCGGCGCGCGTCTCCTCGCCGCGTGCCTCGCCGGCGCCGCGGTCGGCCTGTGGGGGCCCGCCGGCGGGTGCCAGGGCCGCGGCGGCGGCGGCGGCCCCCAGGGCGCCGGCGAGGCGCGCCCTGTAGTATCCGTGGTGCTCGTTGCCGGGCAGCATGAACGCGAACCGCGGGTTGCCGTGCTCGCGCTCGCGGACCGTCGCCTGCAGTGATGGCGCGGGAGCGGAGGCGTTGGGGCTCGGGACGTTGCGCGCGTCTGCCTGGCGCCACTCGCAATCCGCTCTGCCCACAGGGTGGACGCAGCCGCCGCCAAGGCAGCGGCGTCCAGGCTGCGTCACCGCGGAAGGGCCTGGGACGGACCAACGCACAGCCCCATCAAGCCGCAGCCAAGGCAGCAACAAAGTGAACCCCAGCGCCGCGCACCTCAAAGCGCGTCCCGTTGCGGCTGACAAAGAGGACCAGCTTCTCGATGACGGCCCTCACGTCGTGTGGGGGCTCTCGCGCCGGCGGCCCAGCAGCCTCCGCCGCAGCCAGCGCCACCTCAGCACCCGCCGCCGGACCAGTGCCGCCGCGCGCGTCCGCCGCCTCTGGCCCTGCGCCCGAGGGCGCGCCTGCGTCGCCTCGAGGGCCCGGCGCCTCGGGCGCCGCCGCCGCCGCTGCTGCTGCTGCTGCTGCTGCCTTTGGCGCTCCATCTTGCGGCGTGTTGCCAGCACACGCGTTCGCCTCCCCTAGCTGCTGGTCATCCTGGCTCTCGTGCTCTTGCTCCTGCTTCGGCTGCTGCTGCTGCTCCTGCTGCTGAGACTGCGATTCATGCTGATGCTGCTGTGATGGTTGCTCCTGCGGCACTGGCCTGTGCGTAAGGTTTGCTTGTGTCAAAGCCTGCGTATCCTGGTCAGAGCTTAGGCCCGGGGCCCCGTCCTCAGCTGACCCCGCACCTCCCTGCTGTGGCGCCACGTCCTGTTCCTGCTCTGCATCGTCCTGCTGTTCCTGCTGCTGCTGCTGCTGCTGCTGCTGCTGCTGCTGCTCCTCCTGTTCCTGCTCCTGCTGCTGGGGTTCAGGGGCGCCATCCTCCTCAAGCCCCTCCGCGGGCCGCCCCTCGAGCCCAAACACAGGCCCATGCGCCGGCTCTGGCCCGTACAATCTGGGCGTGCCGCCATCGTCTGATGACGCCTCGCTGAGGACACTGTAAGACCTCAGCAGCGCCAGCGCGTCCGGGCCCGCGTCGCCGCCGCCACCGCCGTCGGTGCCACTGCCAGGCGGCAAGCCGGACGCGCCGCCCTCGCCGCTACCGCTGCCAGCGGCAGCGGCCGCGGCTGCGGCTGGGGGCGGCGCCGGGGGAGGGCCTGGAGGGGGCTTCAGAAGGGAGCCCAGCGCCGCAGCCAGCCCCGCTTGCGCGCGGCTGGCTTGCGGCGTGCCTAGGGGCCCCACGCCGCCGCCGCTGCCGCCGCCGCCGCCGGCAGTGGCCCCTCGTGCCGTGGAAGCGGGCGTGTGCGGCGCAGCGTCCGCAGCAGCAAGGGCCTGTGGCGTTGCGTCTTGCTGCCGCAGCCAAGTGTAGTACGCGTGCAAGCGGCCGTGTGGGTAGAGGAACCCAAACGCGGGGTTGCCCGCCATGCGTGCCCGCATCACCACGGCAGCCTGCTCCCCGTTTTGGCGCACGAACGCCGCCGTCTGCGCCACGAGCCGGTGCTCGCGCCTCGTGGCCGGCAGGCGACCGGCCAGGTGGGGCGGCACCTCAAAGGGCGGCTCAAAGGGCTCCTCCTCCGCCCCGCCGCCCTCCACCGCGCCGGCGGCGGCGGCAGCAGAAGCGCCCGCGGCAGGGGCCTCGCCGTGGCCGGCATGGCCCCCCGCCTGCTCCCGCCTGCGGGACAACCGGGGTGGCGGCATAGCGG